TTATTATTTATAGAACCTTCTCTCTGCTCCGATTAAGCGCCGTCTAAATATGAATTCACAGTATAGACGGCTGGTCTATAATTTGAATTAAAATCCCCCCCGACGAGCCGGTCGCTGGAGAATTCTGAAATCACAAGCCTAAGTTGACACAATGAGCCCATGGTGTCAATAAACCACGGGCGAGATGGAGAGATTGTCACTCCAGACCATAACAGTTCTGAAAGTGTCATTACCGTCTGTCCTGTCAATGAGCTCCAAATTAAGGACTATGAGGAACAGCGAGATAAAAGTCACCATCTTGGCTCCATTACGGGCGATCGTGTCAGTGATCTGAGAAGCACTGGAAAGGGCTTTTTTGTTGTTGTTGTTCCTTTTTTTTTTTTTTTTTTAAATGTACTTTTCAAACCACGCCTCGGGATGCCAGGGTTTGAGGTGCGCCGGGGAGAGAAGCAACCTTGAAGCACCCCAGGCTGTGCCTCAGGCGTTCCCATTGAAACTGGCAGAGCTTCTTTGGGAAACGGTGTGAATTCAATGGAGGACCCGGAATAATTCCATCAAAACTGCTCTGGGGCCAAAGAGGACTTCATTTGATTGGGGCGACACGTGTGATCCCGCGAACAGACACTTTTTTTACACCATTATTTTCTTAAGTCAACACAAAGATGGTGAAGGGGAAAGAGGGAAAGAAAATAGGAGCCTCAAATTTCGCGAAAGACAATACGTCTCTGAGATAGCCCCTTCCAGGTATTAAGGCTCTCAGAAAATGTCCCCAATCTCTCTCTGTCCTGCCAGCCTGAGGGAGTTAAGGGGACTTATTCAGGAATTGGAAACCTCCAGTTCTGGATTTTTGTGCCTTTGTGGGTTTAAGCAAAGCAGTTAGCGTTCTTCAGGAGGGGTTTTGTGTTTAATATACATGAGTTCGTTCAACCACAATGCGAAAAGAAAACTCATTTGTTCTTACGAAACTAGGAAGGAAAGATAACTTTAAATAGGCTGCCAGGAGGCACCCGGCTCGAGGGGCTGCCTTCCCGCCGCAGGGCCCGCGCTCCGCCCCGATTCCGTGTGGGGGCAATTCCGGAGGTTGTCCTCGCCACCGGGGCTTGATTTTTCTGATTTGAGGTCATGTAAGAAAAAGCACGGGCTTCAATTACACCCTCCTCTGGGAAGGATGTCCGGGGAGCGTTATTTTAGCCGCAGGGGGAAAATCGCGGAGAGTCTGAGGAGGCCGTTGGCCATTTCTGGAGAGTCCTGGAAGCGTCTTTGTGGACAATCGGCTTCTCCGTTTATTGAGAAGCCTTTTGAAAGCGACTTCGAGAGGTGGTGTGTGCGAGCCGGCTTTTCTGCCGCTTATTGTGTACCTGAAACTCGTCCTGGGCTCCGAGTGGTTCTGGGTTTGGTTGTTTTTGTTTTGGTTTGTTTGTTTTTTGGGGTTTTTTTTGTTTGTTTCTTTGTTTGTTTTCCTAAATTTCGCTTCTCTTCCACTGGAGAAAGGTGGAGCTGGTTTTTTTTTTGTTTTGTTTTGTTTTGTTTTTTTAGGTTTTGCTTTTTTGTTTTGTTTTGTGTTGTTTTCTCCTTCTCTCTCTTTTTTGAACCTCCCCGCATTTTGTCTTTTAACGCCCTGCACCCCAGGAGAGGGGCCGCTCCGAGGGCACGGCGGTACCGGCCTCGGCGGCC